GACGGGAAAGGTACGGGAACGTGTTCCGAAATCTGTCTATTGTCAGAAAAAAGTTATTTTGTTTTGAAAACCTGTGTTTTCTGTCATTTTTCGTGGTATCCAAACTGGGTCTAAATCAAAATTTCCTGTGAAAATTCGAGAAATTACCACAGTGAGTTATGCTGTGAGCAATGATTTTGCAAAAGCAAAATTCGTCGTGGGCCGTACAATGAGCGAGGATTGCATTCTCCTGATAGCCTTGGCTCTACTCCTTCATGACTCAGAGCACCAGACAAGGGCAATACATATACCGCGGTCAAGGTTTAACTTAATGACCCAAACTGACGCCACTTGCGAGTTCCATTTCCGTTTCAACAAGGAGATTCGTCAACTTGTACAACTGCTACATTTACCCGATCCGATCATCACCCCGAAGAGATACCATGCAAGATCAATGGAGGCTCTCTGCATTTTGTTGAACCGTCTGGCGCGGCCACACCGCCTTGGCACCATGGTGTTGCTGTTCGGCCGGAGCCGTGAGGCTCTTTCAGTTATTTCAAACGTTGTGTTGCGCCACATCTACGAGCGGTTCAAGCATCTCCTGAACTGGACGATGGACGTCAAAATGGTCCTTGGATGGAAGCATGTGCAGCAGCCATAAACAAGAAAGGTGCCCCACTGGATTGTTGCATGGCTTCATTGATGACACAGTCAGAGCGATTTGTCGGCCTGGTCGTGGTGTCCAAAAGACAGCCTTCAATGATCACAAGGTATACATCAATTTTCATCGTGTTATTAATGGTTGTCCAACTAGAGAAAACTTGCCATCAAATTCCAGGCTATAACATGTCCAGATGGAATAATTGTGCACCTATATGGCCCGGAGTCTGGCTCCCGCCATGATGCGTATTTGCTCGAGAGAAGTCAAATCGTGGATTATTTGGTTGACAAGCTTTTTTGGAATGCCAAACGATATGTCAATTACGGGGATCTTGTGTATGGGGTCAATGATGTTATTGTTTGTGGCTACAAAGGTGCCCGTCTTGACCTATTTTAATCAACGTTCAACAGCCGTATGATCGCGGTCCGAGCAAGTGTTGAGTGTGGCTTTGAATACTACTACCTCTGTCCCGAAATACTTGCAACAAGAAGAATATCTTGAAAATGAAGGGCAAGATAATCGAATATTTTGAATCAAAGAATATGTACGGATAGAGGAGAAACTGAAGAACACCAATCAAGCACTTTCGCACCAGAATTCGTCCAATCAAGACATCGACGAAGGACAGTATGACCAATACTTTATCCCAATATAATATGGTCCGATTCGTATCCGGATATCCGGATATAT